GGGGATAGTAGAGGATAGGAAAGGCAGCAGAATACAACAGACATGAGTTTATCAATATGTAAAGCAATGAAGTGTAACTGATGTGATTCTGCAAGCTGTATACGGGGTAAAATGGGAGCTCATAACCCGCTTGAATCAAAATGTGAAATATGATATATCAAGAACTATGTAATGTTTTGAACAACCAACGTTAAAAAAATAAATTAAAAAAAAGCATAAAAAAAGAAATTAATGATTTTATTATCACTATTTGATAATTTAATAAGAACCCACTTTTATAAAAAGTAAACTGACTCTAATGCTGTTTTATTTCTGTGGAATACTGCTTTAAACTTGCTCCTCCTCCATGTCACTTCACCCATAAACTTTGAACAGGAAGACGCAACTTATTCTGTTTGTGGGTCATAAAACCTGTGAAGGCAGAAGACAGAACAGTGTGTGCTTAGCCAGTGGAATGACAGCTATGGATCACAAACATCAGTGTGTGGCACTAAATGATGGACATTTCATTCCTGTACTAGGATTTGGTACCACTGTACCTGATAAGGTAACAGTTGTATCTTGGGCTGCAGGGTTTTTTTTAAAAAAAGAAAAGTTTTAAGATGAGTGAATGTTGGCTTGAATTTTCAAGTTTGTATTCCTGTGTGATTTAGGGGGAAATTACCTGGTTATCAGTTCTCTGGGCTAGAGCTAATCCATATTCCAGAGAGAAGTATATCATACTTTACTCTTCATTGTTTTATGATCCTGTGAACACTTACTTATTATTCTGGGCTTTTCATATCAGCAATAAAGCTGTTTTGCTTTCTTATCATCTTTGTTTATTGGAGCAGGACTTTCAAAAATTTTTCCATTGCATAACAACTTGGCTAACTGGAACAAAAACCCTAATTTATGACTGATCTTGGCTTTCCACATATCTTCCTCACTATGCTTCAACATTTCTAGCTTTTGATTTTATATGAGAGTCATGCAACTCTTCCTTTCAGTTGAATATTTAAGGGGCATTGTAGAGAGATAGGGAGAGAGGGGAGGGGCGGGGGAAAGATACAGTTGGTAGAACAGTTAGAACCCATGTGGTATTTTCCAAATAAGTTTATTGTCTTATGTGGATTTGGTTCATGGCACCCAAAACAATTATAATAGCAATATTAAATATCACTGACCAAAGATTGCCATTATACACATAATGAACATGAAAAGTTTGAGATATTTATGAGAATTTTCAAGATGCAGAATAGAGTTTGAAATATTGTGAGATTTGTAACAAGGCAACATTTTAAAATGGTGCCAATAGACTTGCTCCACCCAAGGTTGCCACAACCTTCATTTTATAAAAAAAAAAAATGCTATGTCTGGGATATGCCACTTAAGTGGGACACAATAAAATGAGGTATGTCAGTATCCATATTGTACAAATCTTTATTCCTAGTATGTAGACCTGTTCTTTAGTGAGAATGGCTATTTAGAAAAAAGATAACACAAGAGACTGTTATAAATAGAAGTGTTTACTTTCAAATTGGTACTAGTCTAGCAACTGGTAACTTGGGTTTCTCACCATTTTCTAACTGATGATGAAGATGATTCTATCTTAACTACTTATACAAGTATTAGGGTTTATGTCTCTGTTTTTCTTGGGAAATTGGAAGCTTTGTGTGTGCTAATAGAAAGTGTCTGTGAAACCAGCTATTATAGAAAAATGAGGAATTTAGACTCTGAACAGTTTTTCTTGAAGATGATTTCCCCTTCTTTCTCAAAAGTGAATGCTACAGGAACTTATTGTGTTGGGTGTCAATTTACTGGGGGAGAAGTCATTGAATTTTGTACCAAATTTCTTCTATATTCCATCCCATGACTTTGTTTTTTGAAATTAATTTATTTTGTAACTTAACTATATAAATAGTAGCATTAACTAAAAATATGCTGAATGTGAATCCTTCTAAAAAATCACTGAGCCTGGACATATTCTTTGGAAGCTCAAATGCCAAAGAATATCAACTAATGATTGCTCAGGACTGAAAGTGTTCTTGGGATGCCCAAACTTTCTTTCTACTGGGAAAGATCCAGGTAAATTGAGATTTTTTTTTTACCACATATACATAATTACCCTATAACATAAGGAGAAATTGATTCACATGAAGTCCACTGTTTCTATTTGAAATTCTTCTCATTGCATGGGTCTTCAAATACTTCTTTGGATTGTTCTTCCAGGTTCCTAAGAGTGAGGTAATAAAGGCCACCAAATTAGCAATAGAAGCTGGGTTCCGCCATATTGATTCTGCTTATGTATACCAAGTAGAAGAGGAGGTAGGACTGGCCATTAGAAGCAAGATTGAAGATGGAACTGTGAAGAGAGAAGACATATTCTACACTTCAAAGGTATTCTGTATGTTCTTTCTGTATATATGGGCATACTTATTTAATGCCATTGTGAGAAGATAACAATATATGATTGGATCAGCAGCTTTTTGGTAAGTTATTGCTTATTAGTATAACTTTTATTTACATGTTCTTGTATTAAAACTAGGAAAGAAAACAGATAAAGATGGTGTCTTTCACATCATTGGAGGGCCCAAATTTATGACTATAATGTGAAGTTGTTTTACTTTTATGAATATCAGATCAAAGCAGTGTGATTCATCATGAACTACATAATAAGATAGAATTATGACCAGATAATGGCTTTTCTTATTTTCTGGGTGACTTTCTAAAATCTGTTATTCTGAATCTCAACTTTTAATTGTTAATCAGAGATAGCAATATAAGAGAGATGTTTAGTTATCAATATAAGAGAGATGTTTAGTTATCTATATTGTGTTCTACTGTGTTCTGCACATGTTAACCTGTTCTAAACAGTTTCCTCAACTCTATAAATAAAAAGTATACAAATTCTTCCCATCTGGTAGAATAGCTAAGATATTTAGAATGTTTGTTTACTATTTTGCAACTCAATCAAACATAATTTAGATAATGGGCATTGTTATTTGAGAAAGAACTTTATCTCTTGGATCACTTCATTCCACGTTCAGTAGGTATATGGACAATAGCCAAATAGTAAGGTTT